ATCAAATACTTATTTCACACAATAAAATGGAAATTAATTATTTAAAAATCATACATTGTATTTTTCTGGATTTTTGTTTTAGATTCCATCACTCACAGTTGTAGAGTACCTATGATAAAAAATTACAGTCATCTACAAGCTTTGCAAGTGGGAAAACCTGAAAAATCAACAGCGTATCAAATACTTGTTCTCCCCACTGTATAACCGAGCCGACAACAGAACACCGAGGTTCCTGGTTTTCAATCTTTGTCAACTTTCAGGAGAAATCATGCCAGAGCCTTCACACTAAAACCTTATCAGAGCAGGTTGGACATTCAGCAAGAGTTTCTACAATCTCAACCTGCTCACACAATACTTACTGTCTCCAAGAGTAAAGGTGCACATTGCTTTGCAGCTTTTAGTCAATACAGGCAGATTGTGGCTTAAAGTAAAGCTTTGTGCAGAAACAGACCAAAGGTCAAGGCACAGGTACTAAAAAAAACTAAAAAGGCATAAATGCACCTGTTTAGATTTATGTCGAAGAGTCTGTTGGATTTACTAGAATCCATCATGGTACTGTACATGGATACACAGAACATAAATGTTCAGAAAAAAGCACTATGCTACCAGTTAAAGGCTGGTAATTTGTCTAGGATTTACCAGATTTACAACGTTTACATCTAGGAACCCTTTGGATATTGAAATATTTTGTTTTGTAACAAAAACAGGAATTCAATCTGGTCACATCCCCAGTAACGTCTTTAGCTAATTAGATTGAAATAGATTTTTAAAAAAAACAGTTTAACACATCAAAAAAGAAACATATTGAGGTCTAGAATTTTGCTTCTCCCAGGTTCCATGTTGGATGTTTAAAGTGTATTTTGTGGCGCTTCGCCCATTTAGCATAGATGGCTTTTTCAGTGATGAAGCGGTGTCCTCCTTGCGGTGTGTGCTCGTGGAATTTGTACATGCTGCACTCGTTGATTCGGTTTTGCTCGTAGTAATGGTAGGGGACAACACTGTGATTGGCTCGACTGGAGAAAAGAAACAGATTCATGTCGGGTTTAACCAGGATGGCTAATTACATATGATGCATGTTAAATAAAACTGAGCTTTTGTGTGTCCAAGTCCAATCCTAGTTCTTGAAGGGCCACAATCCTACATATTTTAGTCTCTCTGCTCCAACACACCTGATTTGAATGAATGGATGATTACCAAGCTTCTGCAGAACTTGAAGAGGCAAATCAATCATTGAAACAGATCAGGGTTCCCACACCTTGGTTGACACGGAAATCAAGGACCTTTTCAGGACCAATTTACTCTAATTTAAAAACGTTGGCATTTACCTATGTTATCAATAAACGATTTTAATACAATTCAAATTCAATAAAAAAGAAACATAATGCTTTAGAGCAGTGGTGTCCAAAATCAGTCCTGAAGGGCCGGTGTCCTGTGTGTTTCAGTGATGGGACATCTGAAGCAAGGCTTCGAGGTGCGTATCGAGTAAAAAGGGGGGCGTGTCAAATGAAGCCCCGATGCTTGTGTTGTCTTGCCGAACATCACGTGACCAATGACAAATAATGCCTCGCATCACATCGGCCACGTCACTGCTTCATTTTGCGCGTCGTTTTTCAAAATAAAAGCGCAATGAACCCTGTTGCTTCGTGGGTTGTATTAGGTGACATGGTGGTGCGTCAGAAACAGTTAAAAAGATCCTATTCTGAAATAAAAACAATTAAACCACAAAATAACCACAATCCAGAAACGTCAACATTTTCTTTTGTTTTAATCAGGACAGACAACTCACACACTTATTTTACAAATTTCCTGCTTTGCGCTGCAGATGCCGTCATCCGCGCCGCCTGGCACCCCAAACCTCTCTCCGCGCGCGTGTGTAATAGGCTACAAATTTTCCAGGCTCTTTCTAACTTAATACAAAAGGATCAGAACCAGACGTCCCAGAAAAAGATCATTTGAAAAAATAGATTTTTCAGAAGCGAGTCCCAAGCACAAAACAGTCTATCCTAACAAGCACTCCACTCTCAAGACATTAAAGTGCCAGAATTTTTCAAAAATTAGTTTATGACAGAATATAATTAAGCACAAACACAACTGACGTCACTGGCAGGATTACTTTGGGTACAAATTACTAAGAACTACAAAAAGATGACATCGTTAAAAAGGGTTCAATAGACTTGACTGCTATGTTCTAATATATTTGGAAGTATGATTTAATTGCGCAACATTGCTCAGTTTCAGTTTACCAGCAGGTGGAACTAGTGAGCAATGAATGAAGCATCGAGAAACAAAGCTTTAGCAAAGCAATGGGCTGGACAGCCTCACTGCTTCAGGAGGATTCATTTGGCCATCACTAGTGTGCTGCTCTGGTTCAACACAGCTGAACCTAATGAGTGCTTAATTAGTAGGCCTCCTTAGTATGCCATCAATGTCTGCAGAGGCTTAGATATTCCTACATTCCTATCCACAACACGTGGATAAGTCAAGTGAAGATGAGATGAGGAATTGCTGAAGCCTTGATTCTCTTCAGCAAATGTGTTGCAAAATGATTCATTTCTTGAACTCAATGGGCCTCATGCAAGAACATGTTCGTATTCTTATCCTAAATTTCTCTTACTTTTGTTCGTACAAAGGGTTCGTACGAACATGTCACGTCAGATTCAACAAACTCTTCTATCTTCCTGAAAAGTGTGCAAATGAGCTGCGTAAATTCCACCTGTTCATATCCAGCTGCTCGTGCACGCGAGAGGAGATTAGCATAATTACCACCCCAAAAACACCATATAAGGCTATGTTTCCTGCCTCAGATACAAGGAAGTGTCCATTCATAAAAAATGACAGCGAAAACTAAAAAGAAGGACTTTACGAGTTCAGAGATTAAAGTCCGTCTGTCAGAGATCCAGAAAAGAAAATCTGTCATTTTTAGCAGGTCAGCTGTGGGATAAAAAGAGCTGCTAAAAGTATAAACAACTGTGTTAAATCATTTTCATTTATTCAGAAGACACAGCGCTGTGCAAAACAATCTTAGAATACGAAAACATTGGTGAATGCCACAAATTCTCCTAAATCACTCGTACGCACAACTTAAGAACAAATCTGTGCGTACGAATGGTTCTTGCATGAGGACCAATGACTCCGACTCAACGTGACTGTGAGAAGACTGCACGCACCGATGAACAAGCTGTCAGAAACACGTTCTTTTGACAGGAAACACAAGAACGCAGGGGTGAACACAGAAAAGAGAATGACACGTTTAGCGGTCGCCATCCAAAACCCCAGAAAAACATGTCTCTTTATGGCTGTTTTCAAACACTTTCCAGGACACTTAATTTATTTGTTCCATATTCACAGACTTTCAAGGACCGGTGGGAACCTTGGTTGGAGCAGGGGAAACAACTAAAACATGCAGGATAGCAGCTCTCGAGAACTCGGATTGGACACCCCCTGCAATAGGAAAAAATAAAATCTCACCTGCAGTAATTGTTGTCAATCATTCCATAAACACAAATGCTGTCACACATCTCCAAAGCCAGGATCATTGTGAAAAACCCAGTGCTGAGAAACGCCCCTGTTTTCATCCTGAAAGGGAGACAGCAAATGTTCACCTGAGATAAACTGAACTTTTCTTAAATAAAATCCCAAAACAGACAACACTTATGATTCCTGCATTGCATAAACTCACTGAACTCTCCAGTGGCAACAATCTACTGGAGTCTGTAAACCTGTAGATCCAACTGTCTCTACCTTTACAAAGCTAATATACAAATATTCAATGCTTTTCTAAAAGTGATGCTGTCCTCTTGAATTCAGGAGCGGACACCTCTTTTTTGCTCATGGATCTGCTGATGGATGATTACAGGTTAGTGGAGTTAAACCACAGAGATTAGCTCACCTCACCTCTGATAAAGACCTGTGGGTTACAGCAATGTCCTGATAAGGGTGGTTAGTTGTGGCTGAGACATTTTCTTGAGACCTGGTCAGCTATTTATTTTAATTACTTGGCTTCCAGGTTATAAGTTGCTTCTCCTTCCTACTGGTTTGGGATTATACAGTAAAGTACCTAAAGTAAAGTAGGTATTACAAAGTTAACTGCACCAAAACCTAATTTAACCCATGCAGCTGAATCACCTGTCTTTTCCAGTTTCATTCTGAAACACGCCATCGCAGTCCTCAATCTTGTCTTTGGTCATAGCATACAATCTGACGTTTGGATACTTTGCAGCCATCCTCAGCAGGACATTGAAAACGTGTCCCTTCCCGTCTTGCCTCATGTTCCTCTCAGGACCCCAGAACACATAGGTGGTGCCCGCCCGCTGCTGAAAGTAATGTCGCTCGTTTTTCACCAACAGGGGAACACTGGTGTGAGACACGACTCGGACGCTGGTACGACTCCCGACGTCTTTCTCGTACCCCGCCGTGGGTGCGTTGTTCATCCGGATCACACATCCCGTGCTGTCGATCTCAGATCCAGCACCGGCACCGAGCATCTGACCGGAGCTGGAGACTAAGGCACATTGGTTACAGTGAATGTCCAGAAACTGTGGAGAAAACACAGACATCAGTCCCAGTTGTTGTTTTTTTAGATTCAGCTGTAATTTAAAGTGCTACATCTCAGTTGTTACACTGCTAGAATTGTCCACCAACATGTATATTAGCAGTTGTTAGTCTGATTTTATTATAATTAAGAAACTCCAACTTGTAAGATTTAAGGACTGTTCTTTTTAAACTGTAGAAAACTAATTTAACATTAATATAAACAAATAAAAAATGTAGCATAAGGCAAGTAATAATCATATTTCAAGTTATAGCAACACTGATCTGTAATCTTGTGCTTTATTTCCATCATTTTGATGTCACCAAAAAGACTGCATGTGACCATGTGATTTAATGGACCCAGAACTCCAGTGTTCGGCCCCTGGATGACCTTACCTGGCCCTTCCCACTGGGCCTGATCCTCATGTAGCCCCTGAGACCTGAGCTGTGAGCAGCAGAAGCAGCAGCAGGTGATACATCGTCCCGTGTGATCACAAAACCGAAGCAGAAAAGCAGAAGGAGGCTCAGGCAGAGCAGACAAAGCCAGCGGCGGAAAACCTGCGATGTAGTGTTACTGGATGCACACCCAGACCTGGATCCATCCGGTTCACCTGAACTCATAGCGAACTGAATATATTCAAAGTGTTCTCACTGCAGAGTCCATTTCACGGCCTGTAAGAAAGTCCTGCTCCAAGTCAAAGGAGCGTCAGAGTCTCTCATACTGTTGTTAGCTTCTGTAAGGCTAATCATTCCTCTTCATTCGTCATAACTTTTGTTTTCATCACATGGCGTACAGAATGTCCATCATTTTTCTCCGTTTGTTTACATAAACTACTCCAAAACACGTCTGCTACCAGCCATTGTTACAAAAAACAACATAACTACGCTAATAAACTACCCAATTATCCTGTACGCGGCAGAACATCCGGTTTGTCCTTTCACAAAAAAAGTTTTCATCAAGCGCATTCATTGACGTAAAACTACGCGCTACTTCAAAACACGTATTTTGAAAACTAATTAGCTTTACTTAATTATACTTAGCCTTTAACATATAGTTAATACTCACAATTCTTACAGATCTGCAATATTGTAAAAACAAAATAATTAAATTGCAAGTTAACAACAATAATAAAAAATTGTACAAAAAACCCGGGGATATTCAAACGAAAAGATCATCTCTCAGAAGGTTATGAAAAACAATAACAATTATGCTTTATTGTAGTACGGTATTTGTTGTTTTATTTTGAAATAATAAAAGACCCGGAAATGGCTTATACGTGTACGTAAATGTGCTTTCAGGAACATTTTTGTGGGTTAACAGAAAATGTGGTAACGACGTTGTTATATCACGTTTTTATGAACTATAAATCTGTAAAATTTTAAACACATGTAATTTTTAGTTGTCAAAAAGTTTTTTTATATTATTATTTCTTTTTAGAAACTTAAACTGTGATGGGAGGGATATTGTTATGATAGCCATGTTCTGATTGGGTGTTAGGAGTCTTTGTCCCGCCTACTCTTTATTCTATTGGTTTAGAAACAAAAAAAACCTATGAATCTCTACTCGCGATTGGCTCATACTCCTGTCAGAAATCTCGTGCAGTGAAGTCCCACCCCAACGTAAAGCTTGCACTGCTTTCTGACGGTGACACAGGGATGTCCTCTGACGTATTGGATGCTCACGGTATGTAGCTCTGGGTGAGGCATTATGTTATTAGTCGCTGGTCAGGTGAGCTGTAGTCGGAGTAGCTGTTGAAGTGTCAGGTGTCAGATTAAAGCTCGTTGTAGGCTGACTGTAATCTGAACTAATCGCTCAGCTAAATGAACTAGCCAACGTTAGCATCATGCTCGTCAGGAATGTCTGTCCTACTCTGTTACTGATTTTAGCCGGTGATTAACGGGAATTTCAAACACAGAGCCCAGTCTTCGCTTTGAGCTTTACATAAGGTTTTAAAAACAAAAGAACAGAGCCAGTGTTGATTTCTGTCTATTGTTTTAATCCCAGCTGTCATTTCACCTTTATGCTTTCCACAATAGTAGAAACGCTTTATTTACACCTCTTGACTAGCCAAGACTGCAGGTTGCTTCACTGCATATCAAACTGTGTTGATACTAGATAAGTATAGTGTGCATGTCAAGCTACTCTGCTGCTTAACTGTTAATGTGAGCTTGATTTCCATAGTGGTCAGAACAGTACAAGGCCATGCTTTTGTTTCAATGACTGCCTTAAAGCAAGGGAAATAAAAGTTTTCGACCTTATTGTTTAGTGATTATGTGTTTCTAACCTTTTCAAACAGATCTGGACAGGTTAAAGTGGAGTAGAAGACAATGTGTGCCTCCGTATGAAAACAAAAAGTTCTACCTGTATAAATAGATACACTTGATAAAATATCAATAAGTAAACACTGGTAGTACTCACTGTGCTTCTGTGAATGACCCAAATTCATAAGGATGGATACATCTGTCAAAGAGCCACACATTTCTTACAAGCTTTTTGACTCCGGTGATGTGAGCACCTTGTTGTTGAGTATTTACAGGTGCTGGTCATAAAATTAGAATATCATGAAAAAGTAGATTTATTTCAGTAATTCCATTTAAAAAGTGAAACTTGTATATTATATTCATACATTACATACAAAC